AGGAAGACCGAACCGTTGCGGAGGGAGAGGAAGAGGCGACGACGGCGGAGGGAGAGGAGAGGAAGAGAGGTGGCGACGACGGCGGGGAGGGAGAGGAAGAGGAGAGAGGAGAGAGGACGGGGCAGGAGAGAGGAGAGAGGGCGGAGCTTGGATAAAGTGCGGACCTGACCTCTTCGGTTTACCGGATTTGATAATTTTTTCGGGTCCACGCTCGTCCAGCAGCCATGCATTTGTAGGGGCGGCTCGTATTACCAGCCGCCCCTACTGTTCCATTTGTAGGGGCGGCTCAATCACCAGCCCCCCCTACAAATAGCAACATCGGAGGCGGTTAGTGAGTGAGCCACCCATACAAATCCTACCCATGTGTAGGGGCGGCTCGTATCACCAGCCGCCCCTGCTGTTCCATTTGTAGGGGCGGCTGGTCTCGTGGATCCCGAACATGCCACTGTAGGGGTGGCTCTATCACCAGCCGCCCCTAAAAAAATTTGTCCCGTTGCTACAAATCATTTTTCACGCAGTGCATGGTGGCCAGCTTGCTGCTGTTACCGGTGTTGTTGTTGTTCCCCTCCCTGTCTCCTTTGTGCAGTCACGGACGATAGTGGGTACGCCTGTGGTCGCGCCGTCGTGTAGCAAGGCTAGCGGCAACGGCAGCTTCTTCACGCGGTCGGGGATGTTCGACGTGTGGACCCTGCACTCGTTGGCGTGGGGCCTGATGGCGATCCCCAACGGGCGGAACTAGGAGAGCACCATCGAAGCTATGAGGTAGTGATAGCACCAGCATTGCACTGGTCATGCTAACAACCTGGGCGTGGTGGCGACGGTGGAGCGGCGGCGCCTGGTCCCCCGCGCGGTCGGCTGCACCGGCACCGGCGTTGGGGTTGTAGCTGCCTACCTTGCGCCGCAGTTCGCGCAGATGGGCGTGGGCGTGCTGCGGTTCGCTCACCAGCATGGCCATGGGCATGCCTGCTTCGCGCTGGCATGCTACCAGCCTTGCGCACGAGCCTTGCGCTAGCTGGCTTGCATGCCAGCGCGGCGAGCACGCGCTCACGCTGCATGCTGGGCTTACACTGCATGGAGGCAATGGCGCTAGTCACGCCCACGATCTGTTTGACGACATGCATTAGCAAGAGCTTCTTCAGAGAGCCAAGAAGTCAAGTCATCACGCCACATCAGCATAAGAAGTCAACGTGAGAGATATGAACCTAAGTTAAAGTTTATGCATCTAAAAATTCACTTTCAAAATTGATGGACCTAATTAAAACATGCTCACAAGTTAATAGACCTCTGGTGTATTTAACTCTTTTATAAATATTAATTATAGACAATGAGCGAACAAGAACAAAATTACACCATGTAACATCTCACGAGTACAATAGGAACGTTGCAAAATGCACAACCTAAAATGATAAATGAAGCAACAAATAATTAGAACAAAATAAATAAAAATGAAAAGTGAAAAAAATAAAAACCACAAAATAGAATAAAATATAAAGAAAAGAAAAAGAGAAAGGGGAAAGAAACAGAAGATCAAAGTTGTAGTAGTTCTATGTTGTCTGCGTAGCGGCCACACTTGCCAGCCCGCTTTGTTTAAGGTCATTGGGCTTGCACCCCTTATCATGGCCTCGGCAGCCCAGATTTAGCCTATAAAAGGCCTACCTATACTGAATACTGATATGCATGGAAAGGCTGAATAGGATATCTAGACTGATCTGCCAGGAATATTGCAGACTTGATCCCCTAAAAAAGGAATATTGCAGATTTGCGGTCTGTTCGGGAGGCCGTATCGTATCGTGGATTATTTACTGCTGGCTGGTTTGGTGTAAGAGAAAAAAACACTGTTCCCGACTGAAAATTTACGATCGTGTACGAGCAAGCGAACAGGCTGTTGAATAGTTGAGGAGAAACATCCGCAGACAACAGGAACATATTGATTTTTGTAAAAAAAAATCGTTCATATTCTGTATCTATTTGAGGTAGAGAAAGATTTCTCAAATAGGGGCTCATGGCCATCGGTAATTCCTTGGTACTTGGTAATATGTTGAGAACCTTTTGAAAGAACATTTTACTGTTGGAGATAGGAGCAAAAACACAAGAGAATCATTTCCTTATATTTGACAATGCTTGGTGAAAAAAAATCTAGCCTATAGGCTATAGGCCACGTGTTCAGTTCAGTTGGTGCAATAGGGTACACTGTTCAATATTCTGCCAAGGGCAGTTGTGTAATATGGAGTCCTTCTCTGTCCTCTCTCTATTCCATGTAGTGCGGCATCTTGAGTTTTCTTTGAAAATTGGTGCATACTTTGCAGAAATTGTCCATATCCAACAGTTAGTTATTCAGCGTGTATGGTTAGTTGTTACATGGTGAAAAACAGAACTGATGTTTTAGTTAACACAGTTGGCAATTTCAGAGGTCATACTTTGTGTGTAACGGAATGGCCACTAGCGGAATCGTCAATTCACCCACCTCATCCTCCCTCTCCCACATCACGAGCTGGAGTCCGCTGACTGTTAGGGGGTGTTTGACCTGACGACTAAAATTTAGAAGATGTCAAATAAGGGTGTCGTATACGGTGTTTCGATACTAATAAAAAATAAATTATATAATCCGTCAGTACTCAACGAGACAAATTTATTAAGCCTAATTAATCTCCATTAGCACATGTTACTGTAGCATCACATTATCAAATCATAGAATAATTAGGCTTAAAAGATTTGTCTCATAAATTAGTCGCAAACTATGTAATTAGTTTTGTAATTAATCTATATTTTATACTCTATACATGTATCTAAACATCCGATGAGATAGGAACTAAAAAAAAAATAACACCCCTTACACTGCCGACAGGTGCACAAGCTGACACAGATGGCATCGAGCACGGACTCTCACGAACTGGCCTGAAGGTGGGCCCATGTGCTGCCGTGTCAAACCCCACAAGCGTAGATCCCCTAGGGACATGATTAGTTCGTCCAAAATCTAAACTTTTGCACTATCAAAAAAAAAAAATTCCGTCACATTAAACTTGCGGTACATGTATGAAGTACTAAATGTTGATGAAATAAAAAACTAATTACACAGTTTGATTGTACTTTGCGAGACAAATATTTTGAGTCTAATTAGTCAATGATTAGACAATTATTACTAAATACAAATAAAATACTACAGTGCGCTACAGTGCTACCGAATTCTAACGGCGCTAAATCCGGCCGGAACTCAACGCGGCCTAGCTCAGGAAGTGGCCTGACAAGATGGGTAAGGTCCTGTTTAGTTTTCAAAAATTTTCACTTCAAACTATCATATCAAATCTTTCTACATATGCATAGAGTATTAAATGTACAGGAAAAACAAAACTAATTGCACAGTTAGGTAAGAAATAACGAGACGAAACTTTCGAAACTAATTAGTCTATAATTAAACACTAATTACTAAATACAAACGAAAGTGCTACAGTAGACCAAACCAAAAAATTTATCATCTAAACGCGCCCTAAATCCACCAGCAAACAGTTGAGCCAACTTACTACTCGTCAGAGATAGTGCATGAGACCTGCTCTCAAAACTTTTCAGAGTAGGGCCCATGTCTTCAAGCCATCCATGTGAGAGAGCAGAACCATTCTTTATTCTGGGGAGAGAAGCGGCAGTGGAGGGCAGGCATGTGCTGGGCCAGCCAGGTTTTCCTCCGGGCGCACGATTGAGCCTAGCTCTTGTTTCGTCGCTAGCGTCGAGATTTTCTTCATTTCTCTTTCTTCCACGTTTGCAAGTCATTGGACTCTGTTTAGTTCTTCCCAAATCTAAAATTTTTTATACAGTATCCATCACATCGAATCTTACGGCACATGTATAGAGTACTAAATATAGACGAAAAAAAACTAATTACACAATTAGATGAGAAATCGCGAGACGAAACTTTCGAACCTAATTCATTCATAATTAGACACTAATTACTAAATACAAACGAAAAAAATGCTACATACCTAAAAATTTTTGGATCTAAACGAGACCTCAGTTCCCTCCGAGCTACCTGATGTGGTACCGTTGCGGGTGCCCTTAGTATTTGATCGAGACCCTCTGCCTAACATTGAAGACGAGAAACAAGGCCTCATTTAGATTGAGGTTAGAAATTAGTATTTGGCATTGTAGTACTTTTATTTGTATATGATAATTATTGTTTAATCATGACCTAACTAGGCTCAAAAGATTCGTCTCGTAATTTACAATCAAACTGTGTAATTAGTTATTTTTTTATCTACATTTAATACTCCATGCATGTGTCCAAAAATTTGATGTGATGAAAAGAGAGTAAAAAAACTTGCAATCAAACAAAGCCCAAGATACAGGGAGAATATAACGCATCAGTGATCAGTGTAAGCACAGTACTCCTGTTGCATGGAAACCTAATTGCATAGATCATAAATGGTGATGGCGCAGTGTCCCATGATGGTGGCTGGGCAGTAGTTGTTGACAATGACACAGAGACTATGTCAGTCAGAACATTTTGAGGCTGAAACAGCCCCAAAGTTCGGACAACTCATAGCAGCCCCAATGTCGGCTATTGACTTCTTCTAAGGTTATCCCTGAGCTCTGTTGTTCTTATATATAATATATAATATATAATATATAATATATAATATATAATATATAATATATAATATATAATATATAATATATAATATATAATATATAATATATAATATATAATATATAATATATAATATATAATATATAATATATGTCTTTGCTCTAGTTGGAGTTCTGATAAGAAACGTAGAAACACATAGAGTTTCAGAAACATCAAACTTACTGCCTGCTGTCCTGCCCATCTTCTGTTTATCTCTAACAAGATAGAGCCCCAAATGGAGATTTTCCTTTCTGCAGTTCTGGGTGAGCTTACTACAAGATCCATAAACTTTGTCCTCAGAAAACTCTCAAAGCCACCAGCACTCAAAGTTGAGGATCGCCTGGACAAGGTCCTGCTGTGAGTGCAGGTCATTGTCGACGAGGCCATGGGGTGGCGCATCACAAACCAAGCTATGCTCCAGCAGCCTGACATGCTGAGAGACGCCATGCATCGAGGATGTTACATGATCGAAGCCTACAGATGCCAATTTCACAACAAAGAGAAGGATAAAGATCACATTGTGAGTCACTCTTCACATTCCTCCAAAGCAATTTCTGTGCAAAACTTCTGTTTCTCCAGTGGGACTAGTACACAGATTTTGGAAGAAATGAATGGAGTGCTAGACAGTTTGAGCTCCATGGTGCTTGATGCCAGTGAGCTGATCGTCTTCTTGGAGAGCTATCCCGCATGTACCGTGAGCTTTACAGCATGCATCTCCTGTTGAGCAATTGCATGTTTGGGCGCCAGATGGAGACAGAACTCATCATCAACTTCCTGCTGCACGGTGAGTCTGGTAGTACTGAAGAATTGGAGGTCCTACCGATTGTCGGTCCTGGAAGAGTTGGGAAAAGCACCCTTGTTGCCCATGTGTGTAGGGATGAAAGAATCCGAAACCATTTCTTGGAAATCTTCTTCCTGCACAAACATGATTTTATAGATAGTGAGTATCCTTTTTTCAAAGAAAGATGTGGGATGAAGCATCAAAGTAGCTTGTCGAACTCGAATAGTGAGAGGAGACTGTTAGTTGTTGAGTTAATTGGGGATCTCGATGAAGATACATGGGATAGGTTGTATTCTGCTTTTAAATGGAGCGTCCATAGCAGTAGTAAAATCATAGTCACAAGTCGGTCTGACAAGATCATAAAGTTTGGAACAACAAGAGCACTAACTCTGAAGTATCTATCCCATGAGGCATATTGGTATTTCTTCAAGACACTTACATTTGGAAGCCTGGATCCCAAGACACATCCAAGGCTTACAGGCATAGCCATGGAGATATCCAGGACACTGAATGGTTCCCTCATTGCTGCAAACGTCACTTCTCTTGTGCTGAGGGGCAACATTGACATCCGCTTCTGGTGCAAGGTTTTGGCATTCTTGAGAGGGTCTTACCAGAAGCATGTCTCCAGATTTGGCGACCATCCAATCGATCTTATGAACCAAAATAGGCCTGCACATCTCGAGAGAATTGCTGCACGCTCTGAAGATTTCATTGTTCATTGTGAGCATCAACGCTCTTCACAAGAGGATGTTCCGGAGATAAAACTCCACGATCTTGTGTATGGAGGCATTAAGCCACAGGGAAAATTTGAGGTCCTAGCATGGAAATCTGAGATACCACCCTACTACAGCTATGTTTATGCTAGTGAAATCCCAGAGCTAAAAACAAAAGCTGCCAAGAGGAAGCGTTGTATGAAAAATGAAGTCGTGCCTTGTTAGTATTTCCCTTATATATGGCTTTTACAACAGTAATATATCTGTATCTGTATGTATGATTTTACGTGTAACTAGTACATCAACCCGTCCTCCTGTACGGGCTAGCGTTTTAGAAGACATAAACATTTTACTGTTTAATATATATGACTAATAAAAATTTATTATATTAATTTGCATGTTTTTCACATTGTTCATTTTCTAAAAAATAAGCATCATAGATACTATGTGGTGTCTACCAAGTTTTGACAAACTTATTATATACTGATGTATTGGTTTTTGCACCTCTATCAATGCCTTGTTCCCTCTTTACATGGAACATTTGTGTCTCTCGAGTATGCGTTTAGTTAAACTATTGTGGCTTTTGTTGTTGTCCATATCTTAAGAGGCCATGAATCTATATTTTGTTTTTCAAATTTTAATCTTGTTTGTTGCTACAAATTTTTGACCCTCAAGTTAGGTTGAAACTCTTGTGCTTGGTGTATCTTTTATCAAATCTCCTTTTGTGTATTCCATTAAAAATAAGGACTTTAGTTTCTAAACTCCACTCTTAAGTATTCAGTTATTTAAAACCTGCACCACATCACTTAAGATCAGTAGTAGAGCTTGAACTAAGATCTTGGATGCGTACTGATGCTAACTTCAGGAGGTTCTTAAAATTTAAGCCTTACAATTATTATTTGCTCCAAAAGAATTTCAAAGGCCAAGTAGATATACTTACGTATAGTTTGCAATAACCTCTCCTACTTCTCAAGACATTTAAATTATCTTTTCATGAACTATATGTGTCGTAATTTTTCATTATTGCTACTACACAAATGATTTCGCGAGGCACTGCTCATTTATTAATGCAGGCGGGAAGACTGGGTGGCCGCCTCCATTAATCGGTGGCAAGGCTCGGCCGAGCGCCCGCATGCGTTATCCATTAACGGAGGCAGGCAGCTTTAGACATCTACCTCTGTTAATTGAATAACCGAGGTGGGCACCATAAGGCGACTGCCTCCGTTAATGGACTATTAATGGAGGCAGACGACTTCCTCGGTTAACCGATTAACGAAGGTGGTTGAGCTAAGGCGATCGCCTCCGTTAATGGACGATCGCCTCCGTTAATGGACGATTAACAGAGGCGACCGCCCTTATAATGCCTGCCTCCGTTAATCAATGGCTATAAATGCAGCCCCAACTAGCCCCACCTTCTTCATCCACGAGCTCAACCTCTCTATTTGACGTGTTTGAGCTCCAAAACTCCAAAAATTCACCATTTTTTAGAGGGAGGAGTTTTGCTCTTGGATTCCTTGAAGGAGAACACCACAGGAGCACTAGTAAAAAAAGGGCTTCTATTCCCGGCTGCCAACCCCCTTTATTCCCGGTTACGCAGCCGGGAATAGGAGTTTGAGAATAAAGGGTTAGTAGCCGAGAATAGAAGTGGACCTTTAGTCCCGGTTGGTGATACCAACCGGGACTAAAAAGTGGACCTTTATTATCACCAACCGGGACTAAAAAGGTAGCCACGCCAGCGTCTAGGCTGGCCCCTTTATTCCCGGTTGGTATTACCAACCGGGACTAAAGGGTCTTGTTTTTTCTTTTCCTTATTTCAATTGATGATTCTTTTTTGTTTTAATTTGGTTTTCAAATATGCATTATTCGCTGCAAAGTAATATACGTATACGCGCGCGTACTGTAAAGTTTTCGCTCGATCAATGCACGCAAGCAACACAAATAAAAGTAAACTAAAACATAATATTACATTTCATCGTCACATGTAAAGTTTGCATTAATTGCACATGTAAAGTCGTCGGGGCTACTCCGGCGAGGTGTGGGTGGGCGTCGGGATGCCCTCCCTCCGGTGAGGAAGAAGGCGCGGCGTCGGGCCGGGGTGGCCCGAGAAAGCAAAATCGGCGGGCGCGCGCGCGGCGTCGGGGGCAGCCAGGGGCTCCTCCTTGAGGGGCGCGGTGTCGGGGCTACTCCGTGAGGTGGGCGGGCGTCGGGGTGCCTTCCTGTGAGGATGGCGGCGTCGGGGGTGGCCGGGAAGGCGAAATCGGCGGCGGCGTGGCACGCGCTCGGCGTCGGGGGCGGGCGGGGGCTCCTCGGTGAGGGGCGCGGCGTCGAGGCTACTCCGGCGAGGTGGGCGAGCCTCGGGGTGCCCTCCGGTGAGGAAGGCGGCATCGGGGGTGGCCGGGGAGGCGAATCGGCGGAGCTCTGGGGACGCGTTGAAGACGAAGACGATCGATGAGGAGGAAGAGAGAAGGGAGACGGCGGTATATAGGAGAGGGACCTTTATCCCCGGCTCCATCCACCTCCCGGGATTAAAGCACCTTTAGTCCCGGCTCCTGCCACCAACCGGGACTAAAGGAGGGACCTTTATTCCCGGCTGTTGGAAGGAGCCAGGACTAAAGGATTTTTTGGCGGGCCACCAAATGCAGCCCACCTTTAGTCCCAGCTAGTGGGAGGAGCCAGACTAAAGGTGGGCTACATTTTCATTTTCCGCCAACTTTTAAGCAGATTAGTTTATTTTATATATGTTTTGTATTTAAATGTTTAAGTCTTATTATTTGTGCAGTAAATTCAATACTAGGCATAATTTTTTTTAGAAAAAGTAATAAACTTTATTTTCATTTATAGCACATAAAAAAATATGTGACCTAAACTATTGTGTTTTTTATTATAAATGTTGAACATAATGCAACTAATACTCACTATTTTCGTTAATGCAAAAATGTAGACTTTAATTGAAATTATTAAATTTATTGGTTTTCGACAGGAAATTAGTTTTCACGTAATTGTAACGTAAATCTTTAGGTTCTTCATTAATCATTGTATAATTAATCGGTGAGTTCGGGTGCAAATTCAATTAAAGTTAAAAAAGTACCAAACCACCTCAGAAAAATCTCAAACTTGGTGGTGGCTACACACAGGGCATTTGTAGTCTTAAAAAAAAGTTTGAGACCAATCCGACCCTGGAAAGCAAATGGACTTCAGAGTCCTAGAGAACCTAGGTGTATAGATAGGGTTCGACGAAAGGTTCTATATACCTCTGTGAAGCACGTCGACTCTGCCTATGTTGAAATGGCTTGAAATTTTTTTGGCAGTCATTTACACCCAAAAATATGGCCCCACACAAGATATTAGATTTTTCTAATAATTATTTTTATTATTACATTTTTCTTTGTGGCGCGTGAGACGAAATACGGTGAATTACATATTGAAAACAATATAATTTTGCATCAACCTCCACAAATATTTGTCTCCTAGGGCACAATAGACCATTTGGCAAAGTTTGGCACCATTCCGGATCATTTAGGGGATAGACCCAGTTCAATGTATAATTAATCGGTGAATTCGGGCGCAAATTCAATGAAAGTGAAATAAGTACCAAACCACCTCAGAAAAATCTCAAACTTGGTGGTGGCTATACATAAGGCATTTGAAGTCTTGAGAAAAAGTTTTAGCCCAATCCGGCACTAGAAAGCACATAGACCTCAGAATCCCAGAGAACCTAGATGTATAGATAGGGTTCGACGAAAGGTTCTATATATCTCTGTGAAGCACGTCGACTCCGCCTATGTCGAAATGGCTTAAAAAATTTTTGGTAGTCATTTACACCCAAAATATTGCCCCACACAAGATCTTAGGTTTTTCTGATAATTATTTTTATTATTACATTTTTCTTTGTGCCGCGTGAGATGAAATACGGCGAATTACATATTCAAAACAATATAATTTTGCATCAACCTCCACAAATATTTGTCTCCTAGGGCACAAGAGACCATTTGGCAAATTTTGGCACCATTCCGGATGTTTTCGGGGGTGGACTCAGTTCAACGTATAATTAATCGATGAATTCGCGCGGAAATTCAATTAAAGTGCAAAAAGCACCAAACCAGCTCAGAAAAATCTCAAACTTGGTGGTGGCTTCACACAGGGCATTTGCAGTCTTGAGAAAAAGTTTGAGACCAATATGACACTAGAAAGCACATGGATCTCAGAATCCCAGAGAACTTAGGTGTATAGATAGGGTTCGACGAAAGGTTCTATATATCTCTGTGAAGCACGTTGACTCCGCCTATGTCGAAATGGCTTGAAATTTTTTTGGCAATCATTTACCCCCAAAATATGGGCCCACACAAGATGTTAGGTTTTTCTGATAATTATTTTTATTATTACATTTTTGTTTGTGCCGCGTGAGATGAAATACGGTGAATTATAGATTGAAAACACTAGAATTTTACGTCGAAATACGGTAAAATAAAACTTAAAAACTTATATGTGAAAATTATAATTTTCCCCTAAATTCTAAAACTATTTTTTCAACAAAAGACTCTAAAAATCAAAGTATACTTAAGAAAAGAATATAAATGAAACTAATAAACTAAAACTATTTGTTTTTTTAATAACTACCGGTGGAAGCTTTATTCCTGGTTAGATGTTATAACCAGGAACAAAGAGCAATATTTATTCCCGTCTAAAGCCTCCAGCCGGGACTAAACATTTAGTCCCGGTTAGTGGCTCTAGCCGGGACTAAATGTCGATCTTTAGTCCCGGTTATAGCCTCTAATCGGGACTAAAGGTTTGTCTGCCGAGCCAGCAGCGTTGGGCAGCGACCTTTACTCCTGGCTCGAGGGTATAGCCGGGATTAAATCTCCTTCACTCCCGGGTTCAAAAAATGCCGGGAGTAACTTTGAAAATGGTGCCGAGACAAAAGGTCTGTTTTCTACTAGTGGAGTTGTTATGCACTCCCACATCCTTATTCTGCTCTCTTTTTGAAGATTTGGGTGATCTAGATCTAGATTTAGATCTAGAACTAGTTCTTCACGGAGGAGAGATAAAACATATCTAGTTCTTGATCTGCTGTAATTTCTTTGTAATACTGCTACACTTATGTTTTGTTCGCTGCATGTGTAAGGTTTGATGGAATGGAAAGTTCACAATGGATGTACCAGACATCGAGGCTATCACCGGCCTACATAGGTTAGGTGAAAAAGCTTGTTGACACTGCTCGAAAGCAT